GCGCCGCCAGCTGCCCGCCTCTCGGCCAATGACGAGGTCGCTCTGTCCCGGCGAAGGGCGCAGAGCGCGGCCCGCCCATAGGCCGGCGTGGGGAGCCTCGTCCCCCCTTCCTCCAATAGGAGCGGCCCTCGGGCGGGCGCGGGCTGCGGCGGCGCCTTCTTCCCCGCTCGCCACAGGCCGCGCCGCCATCTTGGGCCGCCTGCGACGTGCGGCGGCGGGCGCGCGCTGCTGCAGGCGCCCTCCCCTTAGACCAAGTCAAGGCTCACGTGTAAAGATCCTCCAGGGCAGGAGCGCCTGGCCACGGCGCCGAGGAGCACGCCCAGGGCAAAGTCTGCCTCAGAGCTCTCTCTACGTTCATTGCGTTATTTAAAATGCTTTCAGTCTAAATGCAGGCACCGAGGTCGCGTCGATGGAGGAGGTGCTTTAGAAGCCCGACAATGCCTTCTTGACACTTGTTTAAGCAAGAATGAGAGGGTTAAAACCGAGGGCCCTTGCAGCGGCTCGTCCTCTGGAAAAACTATCAAGAGTGTAGTTTTTTCCTACAGGAAAAACAAGCACCGTTACTTAAACGACATGTCAGTAGCCCTGCCGCTGCTGCCGCCCCGCTCACTGCTTCGCGCTCCTCCCGCTCCGCTCCGCTTTGCGGAGGGCCCGGGCCCCACGGCGCCCGGCAGCGCCCCGTCCCCGTCACACCGAGCCCCCGCGGTCAGCCCCGCGTGTCCCTGCGGCTCCGAGCCCGCCCGGCTCATCAGAGCGACGCGCTTCACAAACTGGCCTTGGCCGAGCCGCACCTGGGCAGACCGATAGCTTAGCACCCCACGCGAAGGAACCGAACGGCTCAGAATGAGTCGGCAACATCAATGGAAATGCATAACGTATATTTTAACGGGCTCTAAAAATACCCGGCTCCTACAGAACGCTGTGAACTACATTCAAGAGCAGCGTGTGGGTGCGGTTCCTCGGGCAATCTTTTACGGATTCCAAATAATTGGTGGTCTGGTTTTATACTTTAGCTAATGGATATAAGAAATGTGTCAGCCTCAAATGGATTTTGTGACAAAAATTCCCTCAAAAACGCACAAAAATATTCAGAGGTATCTGATTTCTGTGAATCTCAAATTATGGACCTAAAATACATGCCTCCTTTTAAAGTTGACTTAACAGATTCGTATAATTTATGAATCTGTGCAAATATTATTTAAAATAATGTATTCTTT